GTCCCTTGACATCTGCAGCTCTTTGCCAGCCTAAGCAGACACAGGACCCCACCTCCACCAAACAGAGAAGAAAAACAAAAATACTGCATATCAAACCAAAATTAACAAACATAAAACCTTACAGGGTAAAAAACAAATAATAGGAGCAGAAAAACTAGCAAAAATGAAGTTCTTATTATTAAAGAAGGCAACAATGAAAAATTATATGCATAAGAAAAATGAAGAAAAAAGAAAAAACAGCTCTGTGTATATATATGTATGTGTATGTATACATATGGTATGGTATATACAGAGAAAGCGAGAGAGAAAGAATATATATATATATATATATGGATAAGATGCTAATCACAATGTTGATATAGCTGCATAAGATGGAGACTGGAGGCTTCTGCTGACTTCTTTGCCCTCAAATCCTAGAGGGTTGAGAGCCTGAATCTCTCAGCCTGCCTTGACCTTTCCAAGGAAACTATGACCCTTGGCTAAGGAGAGGCTTTCCCAGGAAAGCATATGTTGTTGGGATCTCTCCCAAAGGGGCTGCCTGCTTATCAGGTACACCAAAGCTGGCCTCTCTGTATGCTCCTCTGTGCTGAGTGCTAAGCAACGAAAACTCCGGTTTTCCCTTGGTCTCAGTACTGGCCTCTGGGCACCATTCAAAGTCACTTGCTCATTGGCTCAAGATCTCCCAAGGTAACTCAACTGAGTGTGCAAGTCAAAAAAAAAAAAAAAAGCTCACAGGGAAGGCCTCTCTCTCTGTAAACTTGCTGCTCCTGTAGCTGCAGCTGCCACATCCACCATGGCCTCATACAGAATGCAACCACGTGCCACCTCTTTACTGCTTTCATCCTCCTCCTCCTTGGGTCCAGAAGTCTCCCACTGCCTTCTTGCCTCCCCAAAGGGATGTTTCTGGGCAAAATCCACAGGCCAGAGGTGCCTGGAGTCTTCTCTCCCAGTCTTACTGCTCCCGGTTGCAAACAAGCTGCTTCTCAGCCACCATCTTGCTCCGTCCTGATGACTGCTCTTTAACATTATAATTCCCTTTTGGTTCTCAGTTTGAAATAATTCTCTGATTCCTTCTCCTTTCTCCATTTATCATTGTTTTAATTGTTGTGATTGCATTACTGCTTTTTTTTAGTTAAAGCTTTCATGTCTATTTTCAAAGTAGGTCACTATAGATAATAAATTAACTATGTTCAAGTATTGCCTGGTAGTGTTTAGGTCTTATACAGCCACTCCTGTTTTTTTCCCCTGCTTCATACTTACTGTTATTCTCTTCTTAGTTTATAGAATTCTCTTGACCATGATTTGAATTATTCATTTTATGGCTTATCCATAATAAATTATTTGTTCCAGACATACTTTCTCTTGTCACCTCTTATGCTTTATGGTTTCTCTGAGTTCCCTTTGCTATTTTAATATCAACTAAAGCCAGATCATTAAGGATGTACCCTACTCTGTTCAAAAGGCTTATTGAAAAAGATTCATAAAGCTAAATTTTAAAGTGAACTTTAACTGTATATACCTGTGCTTTTATTTTTTAATGTAGATTTTTGAGAGCATAAGGAAAATATGTGGAATTATATAAACTTTTACAAATTTTTGAGAATTTAATTTCTTAATTCTCTTGGGAGTATATCTTCATCTTATTTAATTATTGCAAAATATAATATCAAACTATATTATGTAATATAATGAACTGATTTGATAATAGTCATAGTTTTGGTTAACCAACTTACTATCTTTTTTTTTTTTTGAGACAGAGTTTCACTATGTTGCCCTCCGTAGAGTGCTGTGATGTTACAGCTCACAGCAACCTCAAACTCTTGGGCTGAAGCAATTCTTTTGCCTCAGCCTCCCGAGTAAGTGGGACTACAGGCACCCACCACAATGCCTCGCTATTTTTTGGTTGCAGTAGTCATTGTTATTTAGCAGGCCCAGGCTGGGCTTAAACTCACCAGCCTTCATGTATGTGGCTGGCGCCCTACTCACTGAGCTACAGGCACTGAGCCCCAACTTATTATCTTATTATACTTCTTTATTTACAAATTGTATGTATTTTTTTCCTTGTGAATTACTAAGTTCACTGAAATGCCAAATTTGAAATATTAAATATATCTCATAAAAGGTCTTGCTATTGATGTCATTTATATTATCAGTGTCTGTTAAGTTTACCACACTATTTTTAATTGGAAAACCTTTCTAAAACTTAATATGATCCCCATACTGAAAGAAGTACATTTTGTTTCATAAACCAACATACACACAAAATAGAAGTTTCATATAGTAATAGCTATCCTTAGTATGTATAGTTAAGGTAAACATATATCAGTGTTTATATCAAATGTGAATGTAATAATATTAAAGTAAAAACCCCAAAAAGCATGAAAATATTTAGGAAATATTTTAATTTATGAAGTATGTCTGCTTATTTCATAAGTTTATTCTTATAGGCATTGTTTATACTAAGTGTGTATACTTATTACTTTTATATTTTCTATTTTGTTTAAATGTTTAAAAATGCTGATAGTGGTTACTAAATTGATTTAATGACTCCATTACTTGATTGCAAACTGTAGTTTAAAAAATACTGCTTGGGAGAAATTCTTGTGCATGCAAATCTGGAGGCATGCTTAAGAGTGTTCACAGCAGCATTGTTTGTATGCCCCTTTCCCTTAAATGGGAATAGCTGAAATATTTACTGATGAGAGATGGATAAATATGCAGATGATAGCATTATTTATATAATGGGGTATTACTGTACATCAAGGTTATTTAATTGTAGCTATGTTCATTCTTATAGATCAATTGAGGAATACATATTGAGCAAAAATAGTAAGCCATGTAATTCATATGTATGGTTTGATTTGATGTATTAATATAAGTTCCAAAAAATAAGTTACACTATACAGTATATCAGATAAGTGTGTGTGTGTGTGTGTGTGTGTAGGTGTTTCTGTATCTGTCTTCAAACTAGAAAGAAAAGTGAGAGAAAAGAAAGAAGAAAGAATCACAGTTTCAGGATAGTGGTTACCCTTGAAGGGAATAGGAGGTTAAGCGGACATTCAGGGGACTACAAAGTTAACAGTGAAATTATGTTTCTTGGCTGAATGATGGTGGGTATAGGGTCTACTTCTTTTATTCTTTACGCACTTATCACAATTGACTTTTGTATGTATTCGGTGTCGAAAGTATTTTTAAATAGAAGTAGTATGAAATCAACAATTAACATTACAACTTAAAAAAATTAGAATATAGGAATATTTTCACTTTATTCCTAAAACTTAATCTACTTTTCATTTTATACTGAATCTTACCCTAATGTTCACTTAACCTGAAGTCCTTTAGAGAGGGTTTGGTAGAGAGTAAATATGATAATAGTACAAAGTAAATTGATATTTAGAGATCAGCCTCAATGATAGATCAGAGATGGAATAGAAGTTTGCTGAACATATTACTTTAAAAATATATGTTTCTATTGTAACTGGAATTTCTCTGCTGGGTTCTTGGTCTTGGAAATTTGAAAAGTGAATTCACAGGCCACCACGACTAAGTGAAAGCATAGATTTTATTAGCGATAAGAGAAAGGAAATAGCCTGTAGTCTCAGCTACTTGGGAGGCTGAAGCAAGAGAATCGCCTAAACCTAAGAGCTGGAGGTTGCTGTGAGCTGTGACGCTACAGCACTCTACCGAGGGCAATAGAGTGAGACTCTGTCTCTGAAAAAAACAAAAAAGAGAGAAAGGAAATAGCAAAGCCTTCTGGTACCACGGAGGAAGATCCTGAGTGGGTAGCCCAGGATTCAGACCTCTGATGCATATGCAGCTTTTCCTACCTTACAGGCAGAGGAGTCTGGGGAGATCAAATGTATGTCTAAAATATATCACAAGCATTTGGTGCCAGAGGCTGTGAGCAGAAAAGTTAATATTAAAACTGCCATCATGTAGGAATGTGGTCAGTTTTCGGGCATTTACCCCTTCCCTGGGAGTGGTGGTATACATGGTAATCAAACTGGTTTATGGACCTGCTCAAGCCCAGAAAATGGAGTCTGTGTTCAGGCCTAAGTGAAGGGTATTTGCATCATTATCTTGATGTTTTTTTGGTTGAGAGATAAATGGTGCTCTTGAATCTGACTTGTAGGCTTCAAATAATTGGATAGTATATACTTAATAAATATTCGTTGAGAGAATGGCTGAGTTGACAAAAGTTGAAGTTTTGGAAAGAGATAGTATCAGGATATGGATTTCAATTTTAGCAAGTTAGTTTGAAGTAGCAGCAGATTATCAGAGTGGAGATGTTATATAGAAAGTTGAAAATATGAGATTTGTTATTGAGAAAATGAGGGCTGCATTATGGATTGGATAGTTTTCAGACAGGGGAAGACTAGAAGCTGAGAGAGGGTGAATTTTCTTAGAGAAAAAGCTATAAAGAGAAAAGAGGGAAATTTAAGGATGAGTCATGGGTATGTTTACCAAATAGGTTTCATTTAGATATCTATAGTAGTTGAACATTCAGTTAAAAGTTATGGCAGTCATATTATTGTTAATATTCTGTTTACAGAGCAAGATATTTTTAGTACCAAATATCTTGCCATTTTATTTTTTTAAAGATTTATGCTTCAAAAATCATTGTTGCTTTTCAAAGAATTGTTTCTTCCAGATGACATTCAAATTGTAATCTTATTTAAAGCTATAAATGGATTTTTAATTAGAATATTTTGTAAAATCTTGTTTTTTTTCTTTATATATGTGAATGCTGAAAGTTTAATTCTGAGTATAGCTTAATATTTGGTGTCCAATTTTTGTATGTTCATCATAAATAGGCATTATACTTGTATATTTTGGTTGAAAATCCATAAGCATGTCATATAAAAATGAGAATTATGATGATAGACATTATGTGAAAGCTACTTAATCCTAATATTAGTAACCATAATCTAAAACCTTTAAAATAAAATATTTTTTCTCAAGAATAAAAGCTTACCAATAATTTAAATTTTTTTTTGCAGAGAGAATCATTACTAAAACAGGAAATAAATGACCTTGTAAAACGGAAGATTGCAGTAGATGAAGAAAATGCTTTTTTCAGGAAAGAATTCAGTGACTTGGAGAAGAAATTTAAAGATAAAAGTCAAGAAGTTAAGGTATGTTGACTTATATATAGTTTTGTAAGACTGTTGCTTTGAAGTCCTGCTTTAAGCTTTGTGAGCCTTTGTGGCACAGGAAGTGACAGGCTTGGAGGAAAAATTGCCTTAGGCCCTGCTATACCATACAGTTTTTTCACATGCAGAAACTCTGATAAAGATGCTTTAAAGCTAGAACTCCAAGCTTTATAACTTTCAGATTAATAGTTAATGATGGAAATGGAGCTAAGAAAGTAGGAGTGTGAATATGTGGCTTCTTGTAATTAGATTCTGATGGGACTGGCATTATTAATTGATAATACCCAGGTCTGGGAGGATATGTCTGTGTGGGTCTCAAAAATAGCTGGGGACAGCATCAAAGGCAGCTTGATCAATTAATGGGCTCTTTGCAAATGTGTACTCATCAAAGCTGTCATCCAGTGAAAAAATATGACCCATCCACCTGCATGAAAAGAGGCCAATAAAAGTACACAGGTGACCTTGGCTATCAAATATAGAAGAAGCTGCTGTGAGGGTAAAACTGCACAGTTTATATTTGCTGATTAGTTCTCACATTTTTTTTTCATGTTTTGGTGGGTTTTTTTGTTTGTTTATTGGCCCTTATGGTACTGTTCTACAGGACACTAAGGAGTGTGTACAGAATAAAGAAGAGCAAAACAGACTAGTTATAAAAAGTCTGAAGGAGGAAAATGAGAAATTAAGTACCCGCTGCACAGACTTGCTAAATGACCTGGAGAAACTGAGGAAGCAAGAAGTACATTGGAGAAAAGAAAAATATAGCATTGATGCAAAAATAAAGGTATACAACGAGAATGGAATCCACACTGCTTTTTTGGATCTAACTTCTTATAGGAAATTTAAAACATGTTATTTTCTTTAAATAACAACTTATATATTCAAATCCACCAGTGGGGACTAGCATTAATTTATATTCTTTCACTTAAGACCCACAGCTTTTTAAAAATTGATGTTGCAAAGCAGGAAACTGACTTCAAATAGTTATCCTAAAATGTAATCATTAAAAAATAAAGGCAATTGCATTTTGAAATAAAATGTGTTTTGAAAAAACATATTTAGAATCACGGGTTTTGACTTTTTTTAAATTAAGGTTTAAATTTATAATTATAGCTAGAATTCATTTCATTGCAATATAGTATTGACTTTATTCCCAGGTCCTTTAAAAAATAAAGTGTAAAAAATATTGAAAATACTCTTGGTTCTCAGATGATGCTTTCTTTGGCTTCAAAGGGCCTTATTCATAATAAAATTTTATTTTTATAGAAGGTAAAAGTTACAATAAATTGTAATAATATTCCTACATCTTTTTTTAAAGGCTAGTCAAATGAAACCATGGGTTTTTCTATCCTTTTTGATTAGCATTTTTCCAAAATAATCCTTTTTTTGTGGCATTCTCTTTGTCTTATGAGGGGTATTGCTCATTTATTTTCCCACCAAATGTTGGGTTTCTTTCTTACCATAAAATTTGTTGAAAAGGCCAGAAACAAATGGTAGTAGTGGTAAATATATGCATGCACTTTAAAAAATATGTAAATACATGGTTATGTACAGCTATTTGACACATATAAACAGTTGGCCTTTAGTATCCATAGGTTTTGCTTTGGTAAATTCAGCCAAAATGGGCCAAAAGCATTTGGAAAAAAAATAATAAAAAATAACATGTAATAATAAATAAAAATAAAATGTAATAATAAAAATTAATACAAATAAAAATATTATATTACAACTACTTACATTGTATTAGGTATTATAAGTCATCTAGAGGTGGTTTAAAGTATATGGGTAAGTTCTACATAGATACTCTGGCATTTCCATAAGGGACTTGAGTGTCTGTGAATTTAGGTATCTGCAAAGGGTCCTGGAACCAATCCTCTTTGGATACTGAGGGACTACTGTAGTATATGTGGATGTGTGTGTGTAAATATTTAAGGTGGAGAGAGGATATGTCTTTTTGATTGTGTAAATCAATCTGTTTCAGATATTTCAGGCAGAATCTTAATTCTATTAGTTCATAATCTGAGAATGACTGAGCCTGAGCCAGAGCCATTGAGATAAATAAATTTTGGTGTATTTGTTTGCTTAATTTTTTTTAAATCAGTTTCTACTTCTTTATATCCTTCAAATAGTTTGGAAGTATGATAAGGGTAAGTGATACTTCCTTATGTTAATTTATAGCTACATGAGTATTTGGTGATAATTTTTATTTTCTTATTCATATAATTCAAATAATCAGTTCTGTGATATCCTATGACTTTTTACTTATGTGACTTTATTAAGGTGTTTTGTCTTTTTCTTATTTATTCATAAGCATTTTTTATTTTGGATACTAATGCTTTATTTTATATATTACAAATATGCCTCCTGTTTTTGAACCTTACATAAGGTGAATTAAACTTTCAAAAGTTTGTGAGTTTGTGTAAAATCAATTTATTTTTTTTCTTGAATGTTTTTACTTTTGGAGTTATATATGACAAAGTGTTCTCTACCTCAGAGTCTTAATTAAGACTTCATTTTTGGGTATGATGTTCCATGTCACTTACTCAATAGTTTACTGATTTGTGATGTAATCTCACATCTCCAAATTTCCTCATGTATGTGGGATATTCCTTGTGTGTGTTCCACATCACTTATTCAATAATTCACTGATTTGTGGTTCAATCTCACATCTCTGAATTTCCTATTGTTTTCATGGTTTTAGGTATTTTGGTTATATAATTTGACTCACTGTTTGGGAGAGAGGTCTATTTTTCTTTTGTTCTTTTTTTTTAAGAGATAGGATTTCTCTGTTTTGCTCAGGCTAGAGTACAATGGTGCAGTCATAGCTCACTGCAGCCTCAAACCCCTGAAATCAAGTGGTCTTCTCATCTTCACCTCCCGAGTAGCTAGAACTATAGGTATATACCACCATGCCTAAGTTTTAAATTTTTATTTTTTTGTGGAGACAGGTTCTCATATTGATAGAGTTGGTCTTAAATTCCTGGCCTCGAGAGATCCTCCTACCTTGCCCTCCCAAAGTGCATGGACTATATAGGCAATGCCTACTGTGCCTGAGTGGAAGCCTACTTTTTTATTCATTTCTTTGTAAGTTGTAAGCCCTGTTTCTCTTCATTAGGTTAGAATACTAAGAATCATTTTTATTAGTTTTAGTGAAAATGTTAGCAGATGAGAGGCATACTGAATTATGAATTAATTTTGAGGGAATTGTGATTCTACTATCTATGAATCTATAATAGGTGTTTATAACTTCTTGTAAAATGGCTTTGCCCACTTTTACTAGATTTATTCCTAATTACTGTTACTGTAAATAGCATTATAGTAAGTAATGCACTTTCTATTATATTTTAAAATTGATTATTTCTGAAATACAGGAATGTTATTGATTTGTTTTTAGCTTCTGTACAAGTTTTTTCCAACTACTTTATTAGTTCTAACATGTTGTATGTCCTTTTTTTTCTTTTTTTTGAGACAAGAGTCTCACTGTGTCACCCTTAGTAAAGACTGTCGTGGTGTCATAGCTCACAGCAACCTCAAACTCTTGGGCTTAAGCAATTCTCTTGCCTTAACTTCCCAAGTAGCTGGGACTATAGAAGCACACCACAATGCCCGGCTATTTTTTTTGTAGTTGTCATTGTATTTAGCTGGCCTACGCTGGGTTTGAAGCCTCTACCCTTGGTGTATGTGACTGGTGCCGTAACCATTGTGCTATGGCTGCCGAGCCTGTACAGACTTTTTGATTTTTTCTAAGTTGTACAATTACATTGTCTTGTCAGTAAGAAAACTTTGCATCCTTTCTTTGTAGTAAGAAGGCATTATTAGAAGAAATAGAACTCACATGCTATACACTTAATCTATTTGAAATATAAAATTCACTAGTTTTTAAATTATGCACAAAATTGTAAAATCATCGCCACAATCAAGTTCAGAACATTTTCTTCACCCCCAAAAGAAAGCCTGTATCTTTTAATCTGTGTTTTATTGCAGGGATGTCAGCTATGAAACTTGCTGTGTATGAAGAAAAGGTATTACTTTTTTCTCCCCACATCTACATATATTTTAGGTATATACCTAGGAGTGAAATTATTAGCTCATATAGTAACTTTGTTTTTACGCTTTTGTGGAACTGTAAACCTGTTTTCCAAAGTAGATACAACATAACCATTTTATGTTCTGAACAGCCATGTATAGGGATTCGATTTCTTCATTCTTAGTCAACACTTGTTATTCTCTCCTTTTTTTCCTTATAGCTGCCCTCATGGATATGAAGTGATTCGCATATTGTAGTTTTCATTTGCATTTTCTTTCTTTTTTTTTGAGGCAGAGTCTCAACCTGTTGCCCCAGGTAGAGTTCCATGGTGTCACAGCTCACAGCAAACTCCTAGACTCAAGCTATTCTCTTGCCTCAGCCTCCCAAGTAGATGGGACTACAGGCACCTTCCACAATGCCCAGCTATATTTTTTTGTTGTTCTTGCAGTTGTCTTTGTTGTTTTAGTTGACCTGGGCTGGGTTCAAACCCACCAGCCCTGGTATATGTGGCTGGCGCCCTACCAACTGACCTACAGGTGCCGCCTGATTTGCATTTTCTTTATGGTTAATGATGTTGAGCATCTTTTCATGTATTATTGGCTATTTATATGCCTTTCTGCAATGTCTATCCAAACCCTTTTCATTTATGGATACTGGATAAAAGTTCTTTATCAATTATATAAATTAAAAATGTTTTCTCCAATTCTGTGTGTTATTTTTTACTTTCTTGATTTTTCTAACTTGCTCTATCACCCAGGCTAGAGTGCTGTGGCTCAGTCATAACTCACTGTAACACTGGACTGCTGAGCTTAACTGATCCTCTTGCCTCAGGCATCTAAGTAGCCAGGAGTATAGGTAGTTGCTACTCATTGCACCAGGCCTTGCCGGTGTTCTTTAAAACACAAAAGTTTTTCTTTTTTTCTTACGGTGTTCTTTAAAACACAAAAGTTTTTCTTTTTTTCTTTCTTTTTTTGAGACAGAGTCTCATTTCGTGACCTCTGATAGAGTGCTCTGGCATTGTAGCTCACAGAAACTTCAAATCTTAGGCTCAAGTGATTCTCTTGGCTCAGCTTCCAAGTAGTTGGGGACTACAGGCACCCACCACAATGCCCAGCTATTTTTAGAGATGAGATCTCACTTTTGCTCAGGCCGACCCATGAGCTTAGGCAAATCCACCTACCTCAGCCTTCCAGAGTACAAGGATTATAGGTGTGAGCCACTGTGCCTGGCCCAAAAGTTTTTCATTTTGATGAACCTATTTATCAGAGGTTATTTTTTTTTGGCATTGCTTGTGCTTTTGGTGTCAGACTTAAGAAATCATTGCCTAACTAAAGGTTATAAATATTGGCAACTATGTTTCTTTCTAAAAGTTTTATTTTGTGTCTTAGGTTCTTTTATTTATTTTGAGTCAGCTTTTGAATATGGCGTGAAATATGTATGTACCTTCATTCTTTTGTGTTACTCAGTTGTTACAGTACTGTGTCTTGAAAAGATGATTCTTTTCCTCACTGCATTATCTTTTCATTTTTATTGAGTATCAATAAAAATAAGGTTTAGAGGTGGTGCCTGTGGCTCAAGGAGTAGGGTGCCAGCCCCATATACCGGGGGTGGCAGGTTCAAGTGAGGCCCCAGCCAAAACTGCAAAAAAAAAAAAAAAAAAAAGAGAGGGGACTTAGAACCAAGTTCTGTTCCTTTGATCTGTGTAGATCTATCCTTGTGCCTGTCTTTATTGCTGCAGACTTGTAGCAAGTTTTCAA